TTAGACTATACCTCCTTTCTCCCAATCCTTATAACTACGGTGTTTGCCCCTCTATGCACCTCAGCTGTTCACTACATCTTCGTGTGACTGACTGAGGTGTGTATATCATTCATATTATCATCCACTACCTATTTCTTACGCTACACTCATCTAGCTGTTGTTATCTTAACAGGTTCTGGGCTCCCGTGCTCATCCCTCCTAGTCAACAACACACACGTACTACCAAACAGACTCAATAATCCGCACAGACTGTGCATACTGAACTCCATACACCCTCTATCATGATGACCTCCTCTCACCATATTCTCCCCATCAAACTCGACGACGATGAGAAATTCAATGGTGAGAACTGGGCAACCTTCAAAATGGTCATGATGACCGAAGGAAACACTCGAGGCCTCATCAATTACTGGGAGAACAAGGTTGCAATCCCTGGCGCCACACTCGCACCATTACCAGCAACCCCCATCAATAGTCTTACCCCAAACTCACTGGAATACGCCCAATGCGAGAGCGTTGCACTTGCCTCAATCATTCGCAATGTGAAGGACGTATTTGGCGTCGGAATCGACCCTCACAAACCATCCCACATGGCCTGGGAAGTACTCAAGACTGATTATGGTGCATACTCAGACCTAATCCGCAACCGTAGGGAAAAGATGTTGAAAGCTGTGAAATACCAAGATGGGGAAAAGGTCAGTGGCGATGGAGGGTATATTGAAAGGATGTGAAAGCTCCGAAAGGAGGCCAATGACGCTGGAGCAGGCATTGATGACAAAAGTTTCAAGATGACTCTGCTAGACTCATTCCCCGAGACTTGGGACCCTGTCGTCAGCACACTCTATGCTGAGAACAACCTCACGGTCGTTATTGCATGTCTTATTGCCCATGGCGAATGAGTAGTCAGATGGAACTCTGTTAGCAGCCCCTCATCTACACAGGAGTCCACTGTACAGGCACTCCAAGCATCGATCCAAGTGCTAACCCTACAAGTCCAAAGCTTATCCTCAAAGAAAGGTGCAGCACCTAGGTCCAACAAATCTCACATGGCCAACGAGAGTTGCAAAGGACTGGGTCATACCCTCGACAAGTGCTGGAAACTAGGGGGAGGGAGACAGGGTCAATATCCCCCCTGGTGGAAAGGGAAATGGGACACACCCGTTCCTGGTTCTGCAAACCTAGCCACCACATCATCATCTGAGGTGGGCTCCATATACACCAATGTCACCACATTGAGCACAATCATCGACGATGAAACCTTGAAGTCTATTGAAAGGGCACTGGAAGCAGAGAAGTCAACAATGATGGTCAATAATGCTAGTCAAGGGTTCGTAGACACCTCACTGTTGTATGGGGACTCTGGCGTGTCCACCCACTTTATCCAAAACAAAGACTGCTTTTTCCATTACATGCCGCTTGGTGAAACAACTGGAACTTCGTCGAAGGCTGGCGCCACTCTGAAAATACAAGGTATCAGCACCGTAGCCTTGAAGTCAACAGTGGCAGGTATCCAGAATGTATTTACCCTCAGCAAGGCCCTTCATTGCCCAGACGTCTCTGCCAACCTAATCTCAATTAGCAGACTGGACAAAGAAGGTTGGTTCGTCACCTTCAGAGGCAGCCAAGCAACCTTCGTAGACCAGAAAGGGACACCCCAGTTCACGGCGATGTTGGTAAACAACCTATATGCAATTAATGGGACGTTGATGTGCAGTGAGGAATATACTGCCCTTGCAGCGAGATCACTAGAGGCAGCCATACCCATCGAAATGTGGCACATGTGGTTTGCACACCTTGGAGTTGACCAAATCACCGAGTTGGAAAAACGAATGCTTGTGGATGGTCTGAACATTGCAAAAACTGAATGTGCTGGGGGAAAGTGTGAGCCATGCATTTTGGGAAACCAGAGAAGAAGGCCATTTGACACTGACATGGTACCAGAGAAAGTGGTTTTAGCGTGGGTGATGGTTGATATTTGGGGCCCAGCCCACATACAATCCATTGGGGGAGCGAAATATGCCCTCATGTTCACTGATGATACAATGTCTCAGAGAATGCCTTACTACATCTCGGATCGAAGGGCCGAAACTACCATCAAGGCACTAAATCAGTTCACTGTTATGGCAGAAAGACAAACAGGGAAGAAGCTGAAGAAAATCCAGTGTGATAACGAGCTTCACAATGACTTATGGAAGATGTGGGGCATAGAAAAGGGTGTGATCATTGAGTTCACAGCACCCTATTCATCTGCAGCCAACAGGATGGCTGAATGGATGCTTGGTATCATCTTTGGGACAGTCCAAATACTGCTCCTAGAAGCAAAGATGTCTGATGGGTGGTGGGCCAAGGCTTGCGACTATGCGATAAAGGCTGGAAATCTGCTGCCATCATCAAGGCACCCAGGGAAGGTTCCAGAGGAGGAATGGACCAGTAAATGGCAAACTGTTAACCACCTCAGAGTTTGAGGATCAATGTGTTATGCAAAAATCCCTGCAGCAAAAGGCCACAGCAAGTTATCTCTGTGAGGACAGAAGGGACAGTTTGTTGGCTTGGCAGGGCATGGTTCATACAGGATTCTTCTGGATGATGTACCTGGGAATAAGATTATCATCTCTCATGATGTCATTTTCGAGGAGCTAAGTCCTACTCATACTATTTCTCTTTGTGAGGGGGAGATTGCATACGAAGACCTCATCGAACCACTTGCAGAAACAATCAAGAATCACTCACAGCCACTGATTGATCCTCCAAGCCCTGATCGCAATCAAGCCCAATTGCCAACTGCACCCATCCAAGCACCTCCAACTCAACCACATGTTAATCCACCACCTGCAAAATGTCTGTCCTGCATACCAAAGCCCACTAGAGCCTTACTTGAATCGAAGGAGTATGCCCAACGTGAAGAAGAAGCCAAACGAAAGGGAAACGATAATACCATTCCACTACTTGCTGACAAAGATGATGTTGAAGACATTGTTGCCCTTAAAGCTTTGGAAATCAGTAATATCATTGATAGACATGACATGTGGGTACCAGATGACTACAACCAAGCTATGACCAAGGCAAAGATCTGGAGGCCAGCTATGGATGCAGAGATTCGATGCATGGAAGAAAGAGATGTCTGGAGAGTTGTGCTGAGAGAACCATGGATGCAAGTGATTGATACTCGCTGGACATTCGATAAGAAACTCGATGGGGATACAGCTGAGCTCCTCAAATGATGCGCTAGACTCGTAGTCAAAGGATTCATGCAAATCAAAGGACTCCATTATTATGACTCATTCGCAGCAGTCATCTGATACAAATCTTTATGGATGTTCTTTGCGGTTGTCACTGCTCATGGTCTGGATTTTTGGCTTATAGACTTCGTTGATGCATACCTAAATGCAGAGCCACAAGGTGAAAACTATGTATCATTGCCACAAGGATACGAGAATATAGTTACCAGGGACTATCCAAAGGGAGACTATGTCCTGCAGATGTTGAGAGCGATGTATGAGACTATGGATGCCAGGAATGTGTGGTTCCATGAACTCAACAACACCCTTACCATGCAAGGCCATAAACAATCACGAGTGGATCCATGTGTTCGCCTTCTCAAGAATGGTTCCAAATGGATGTACACATGTACATATATGGATGATGTTTCTGGTGCATCCACATCTATGGAGGAAGGCAAGCATGTTCGGAAGGAGATTGGGAGTGTCTACAAGATTAAGGATTTGGGGAAGCATAACAGCGTTCTTGGAATGACCATGGAGTTCGACGAAGAAACTGGTGCTATTTCGTTGCATCAAAAGAACTTGATACTGAAATCCCTAGAGAATTTTGGGATGTCAGACTGCAAGCCGAAAGCGACTCCGCTTCCAGTTGGAAGCCTGATGAATCTGGATATGCAACCCCAACCAATCCCTAATGCGGATAAGGAATTTATGGGGGACAAGGATTATCGTGAGGTTCTCGGATCATTGAACCACATTGCCAATGGAACAAGACCTGATATTGCATTCACCACAAACTACCTTCAATGATACACCTTGGATGCTTGTCCCATACATTGGAGCTGTGCTATGCATGTCCTTGCCTATCTAAAGGGAACGATCGAGTATAGAATCACCTACCATCGAGGGAACGCAGAAGATGATGGCCTAACTCCTGTTGGGTATGTGGATTCATCCCATGGCGATGATAAAATGTCGGGGAAGTCAACCATGGGGTATGTATTCATGATGGCAGGTGGTCCTGTTGCATGGAGCTCAAGGTCACAGAAACAAGTTGTGCTATTGACATCTGAAGCAGAGTATGTCACCACAGTCCATGGAGGTTGCCAATCATTGTGGATGGGTTTGTTTTTGGATGAGATCAAACTGTCAAAGGATCGCCCATATCATCTGAACTGTGACAATAACTCAGCTATCAACCTGATGCAGAACACCAAAGGACACGGAAAATCCAAGCATTTTGCTATGGATTATCATTGGATTCATAATAGCATTCAGCTTGGTGAGCTGGATGTTCGTTACATCCTGTCTGAGGACAATCTAGCCAACCTATTCACCAAGAGCATTCCCAAGCCATGGGCAACTGAGTTACTGAAGAGGATGGGGATGACCAGGGTATAGAATCCTATGGGCATAGGCTTCAGGAGGAGTGTCGAGGATTCAGCCTACCCTACCAGTATTCTCATTATTTCTCATTCAATGTTCCTACTTACTATATTTAGACTATACCTCCTTTCTCCCAATCCTTATAACTACGGTGTTTGCCCCTCTATGCACCTCAGCTGTTCACTACATCTTCATGTGACTGACTGAGGTGCGTATATCATTCATATTATCATCCACTACCTATTTCTTATGCTACACTCATCTAGCTGTTGTTATCTTAACAGGTAGCATACTTAATACAGCTGTTCACTACATCTTCATGTGACTGACTGAGCTGTTGTTATCTTAACATAAATGCATAAAAAGCACCATCCCACCCAAACTGGACCGGACTCACCAACTCAAATCAGAAATCACCCATCTCCACACAGAAGTCGACATCCTATTTGAGAAATACCACTCTTTGCATGTGCCGATCTGCCGGCTCCCACCAGCACTACCCCTGTTAATATTCCGTGAATCAGAATTAGATGACTTGTCATTCAAAAACAGGATACCGCTGTTTCTCATGAATGTCTGTGCAACATGGTATCAACTGGTTGTCTGTACCTTGACACTGTGATCTATGATCAGTATAGGCTGTTTGTATGGCTGGGATTTGCATCGGTGTATACCCGGAAGTCTAGATGTGTCATGCATGTCATCACTGCTCACTTTATCGCTCAAGTATTCAAAGATTGCACCCTTGGATATCTCTCTGCACTCTAGCGGAGAGAGCTCCCATGTCAAATGCCTAACCAATCTACTGAAGCAGCATTCCTCAAGATGGTGCTCTCTTAACACTGATGATAGCAGGTTTATCCCAGCGAAGCTGCCTGCACTGGAGAATCTTGTCTCATGGGACTTCTCAACACTACCTTTCCCCCTCCACGCACCTTGCCTCTTCATATTGGCACATTCTACGAAATCCCTTTTCTTCCCTCTGCCAACTAGAATGCACCATCGCTGACCCCACCCTTCACATCACCCTTCTCAAACACGCTAACCAGCTCACCTCTCTTCGATCCTGCTGTCGACAGGGTTTCATTAGCGATAAGCTACCCAATATGAGCATAACTCCAGCAACCTCTGCTATCTCGATCTCCCTACCCAAATACCTGAGATCCTCGCTTGTATCTTCTTCCCCAAGCTTTGCACCCTCAAATTCAGTTCTGGAGTGTGTGACTATCACCCTGTCTATAGCCCAAATGACATCAGTATCCTCAACCACCTCCACTGCCATGCTGGTCTTCTGTGATGCCATGAGCATGACATCTTTCACCAGACTCCTCTCGTGCACCATTACTCAGTTAGATCTGGTCATAAACATTGAAGAGGCTGGCTGTGGGCACCTGTGGAATAGTGAGCAGGCTAAAAGGCGAACCTCAAAAACCCACACACACACTCACACAACTACACAAACTACAATCACCCTCGTAAGTTCTTGGGGGAGCGATTATTTCTAATGCGATCCGACTATACTTCAATATCTCAAAGAGTATCCCTTATCCTCAGTGCTCTTAGCAAAGCTAAGCTTTCTCTAATGAATTCCTAAGTCTAGGAACTTTTTACAGGAAGGTCGTTCACTGGCGCGACGCAACCTTCAAGGCAGATTTGAGTTATAATACACAAGGGACACTGATCCCGACAGAAACAGAGGCAATACACACCGAAACTTTAGTGAGCTCGCTAAAAGAACACCACAGGCAAGCACTGACTTAGCCCACTCGCTACACAACTGTATGTAGGGGTTCTCCAACTAACTCCAGCAGGTTATCTCGACTCAAGAACACTTCAGAAGTGCTTGGAAACAGATTCAGAAACGGAACTTCGAACAGAACTGACACGGAACAGACTGAAACAGAACAGAACAGAACAGAACAGATCTCAGATTTCCACTTCAACACATTCTCCGAACAGACTTATCACACTTAACAGAACAGAAACAGTGTCACTGATTCATATTCACTCTGACTAAGTTCTCAAAAGTCTTATCAAAAGGGTATCTCGTATTTCTCTGAGTGAGCTCGCTAATTCTATGCAAAGCTCGAAGTCACAAACTGATCCTTTGTTACAGTACTGCCTTCAACACATGCACGGGAACTCGGGGGCTCGAAACTTGGCCTCTACCTACTGTAACCAGCCTACTTATACTACAGGGGAATTAGAATTACAAGCGTCGCACAGTACCCAGACTCCTACATGCATAGCATGTTGCCACCGCTGCCTTACTGAGCATCCGAGTCGGACTTCCCAGTTTTAGTCTCATTTCTATAGTGAGCTCGCTAAACACGTGCCAAGAGGTGCTCTCCCGACACCTGCGGGCTTGTTCTCTAGCGACTGACAGGTCTAGGTGCACGGAACTATCAGTTCTGGCATATGTCGTTCAGGACTTCTTTCTTGGATTCACAGAGGCTTCTCATAGACATGGCAACAAGTGAGTCTTCAAACAATGGGACTCAGAACAATGGAACATGGGCTCATGGACTTCGGCCGAAGCCCATTGCCCAAGCTTGTGCCGATGATATCTGTCATCTTGCTTAAGGATTTCCCCGGATTTTCAGGTACGACACGTCACAGTTAGCGAGCGCGCTAAGTGTTCTCAGTGTCAGTGCAATCTTCAAGGTTTTACCTAGCTCCTGCGAGTGTGCTTGTAAGTTAGAGCCTAAGGCATTGGGTATAGGGTTTGGCCTTCTCATCATGCATGCCTGTCAGGTACAGTGCCGTGACTAAGTCCTGTTTAGAATCCCGTTGCTTCTTATGCCATAAGTTATATTCCATATCATTGCACCACATAGCATTAGTGTCGACATGTAGTTTTAGTCCGCTCGCTCACTATATCTCAGTATGCATGTAAAACACTCTAGATTGCAAAATTACATGCGTAAATAGGCTGCAGTTGCAACACCGTAACAACACTTCTCTCGATCCAAATGTGATCTTGAGAAGGTGATCAGACAAATTACCTGTTGACCCTGAAATCATGTCTGGATATCAGGCAGTGATAGGATCATTGCTATATGTGGCACAAGGAATATGACCTGATTTAGCACACCCAGTCCAGGAGTTATGACAATACGCATCAAATCCAGGTCCAGAGCATTGGACAGCACTGAAACATGTCCTCAGATACCTTGCTGGAACCCAAAATTTGAAACTTGTGTTCCGCAGAAATGAGGAAACTGAAGTAATCAGTGTCAGATACTCTGATGCAAGCTATGCATCAAATCGAGATGATTTGAAATCAGTCTCAGGGTACACATACCTTATTGGAGGCATGGCATTTGCATGGAGCTCGAAAAAACAAAGCACTGTTGCACTGTCTTCAACAGATCTTCCAACTTTACAGTCTATAATGACTGTGCCTCATCCCAGGGCTTTAATGGTCTGGTTTCTGATACCATTGATTGATGATTCTGTCAATGGTTTGAAATCCGTAAAGGAATCACAATTATTGCAAATATGGGATGTCATTCCTGAATCCGCAAGCCAATCGTCACTCGAAAAGTGTGAATCAAATTGTGGACAGCTTGTGTCTATTACTCAGTAAGCTGTCTCTGGTATGTCATCACTGATTTCTGACTGCTTGGCTTGATTTGCGTGATCCTTTCCCTTTTTCCGGCCTTTTCCTCTCGACTTTGGACCCTTTCCCTCCATGCCACCTCCTTTGGACCAACATTCTGCTGAAATGTGGCCCTGTTTGTGGCAGTTCCAGCATTCTTCTTCTGAGTTATCCTTTGTAGCATTTTGCTTCCAATTTAATCCTCTGTGCTGATTTTTTCCATGTCCATACATGGCCAATTCTCCTCCACTGCTCTTCTCTAATCTTCTGCGGTTCTCTTCCATTACTATGGCAATGAACTCATGTGAAGTGACAGTGGGGTTGTTTCCAGTTGTGCCAAGATACGCTGTTGTAAATTGGTCCCAAGATTCAGGTAAGGATGTTATTAATAACATGAGGAAGTCTTCATCTGATACTTGGCTTCTGAGCATCCCTAGCTCTTCTTGAGTGCGTCGCATCTCGGTTATGTGTTCTACAATGTCTGTAGACTCATCAGCAACAGTATGGTACAAACGGTGATGGTAGGATAAAATTCCTAGCTTTCCTCTAGCCTCCTTTACTAACTTCAATTGCTTCCACATTTCAGCTGCAGTGGTAGTGCCCGCAATGTGAATCATCTGCATGTCACTTAGTGTCAGCTCTATTTGGGTCTGTTCCTTCCCATCCATCTCCTCCCATTTGCGTAGCTTTGCAGTTTCCTCGGCTGTTGGTGCCTTAGAGTCTGCTGTGCTCAGTTTCACTTCCTTTCCCTCAGCATACTTTAAGAGACTCCATTCTCATAGGATAGCTGTCACACGATGCTTCCACGGAACCCAATTGTCTTCTCGAAGGAGCTTGATTCAGAATAGTGATGATGGTGTTGAATCAATTGATAATGACATGATGTGATGAGGGCTGGGGTTTTGATAGTTGTATTAGGTGAGTACTGTTCATGTAGGTATGTAGGTGTATAGATTATTTAGGCTTTGGGGCCCATAACCTATTGTGAGGATGAGTGAAATATGCAGTGGTAAACCTATCTCTCGGTCTACTACCTTAGTGGTGGTTGAGTATGAAGGAATTATTGTTCTACTAGGCCAAAACTTCAGCCTTATATACTACACAATGTATCTAGAAAGTTCTACTACTTTACTTATGTTTATATCTACTCGAAGGTTCCAGTAAGTAATGTTGGGATTTGGCAATCCGGCATCATGCCGAGTTTGCTTATTAAGATAGAAGTCTGAGAAAAAGCATGGAAAGTTCTAGTAAAAGTACATTTAGTATAAAAGTAGGTACTGTAGAGTAGATCTTCATGCATTTGCAGAGCTCAGCCAAGCGCAATACTATTGGCTTGCTACCATGCATGTGACACTGGGAACGAACTGATACCCCACTTTCCAACTGTTGTAAAATAGAGTGTAATGAAGGTGGTAAGTGCAGTGGTAAACTGAGAGACTCAACCATTTGAGAGAGATTGTGTTAGGAAGTAGTTGAACAATTTTTTTATTGGGGGCTGAAATCCCCGGTATATATACTACAAGGTAAGTACTTTTAGAATATACTACTATCTATGAGTGTCCTTGTCTGACTCATTTCTTAGTGAGCGAGCGAGCGAATGACTTGAGGAGAAGAGACGCGAAGATTCTCGTGTGTCTTCAATGATAGTCCGATTGCCGGATTGCCAGATGTGGCTGGTGCATCTTCAACACTCCCCCTCAAGATGGCAATAGGCCCAGTTCACAAATGAACTTCTCATGCTTCAGCCTCGGCAATGCCTTCATGAAAATATCAGTGACCATTTCATCGGTTGGACAATACAACAGCTTGATCACTTGGGACTCGATTTTTTCACGCACAAAATGATTTTGGACATCAAAATGTTTGGATCTCGTGTGATATTGTGAGTCTCTCATGATGGCGATGGCGGTGATATGCCTGGTATCAGGCTACCCATAGATTTTGCAATTTTACATCAGTTTATGTAATCTACAAGCGGTACAGAGGGCTACAGTGGAGGCTTCGCACTGGTAGCTAAATACTACATAAAGAATGAAAGCACGGCAGTACAGAACAGACTTAGAAATGACATCTCGAAGAGTCAATTCTACCAGCTGTCAACATGCCAAGCTAAGCCCTACCTAAACAAGACTATTACAGTCAAATCTCGGGGACTCGTCTGTATGGAGTATAAAAACCAAGAAGTTGAAGAATGGAATGAACTAGATGCCTCGTCACCTTGATGAGTAGAAAGAACCTGTCAGGAAAAATTGCTAAGTCGAGAAACAGATCAGCTTTCGAGATCAACTCAGGCTAGGAAAGGAATAACCTTGGAAGAATGAATAGCCGTGTTGGGTACCGAGATGACCGACCTTGATCACGCAGTGATCAACAGAATACAATCTCGGACCTGCAGTCGATTGCGATCAGAGGTTACATCCTCGAGATCCTGCACATACCGCAGTATTCAATACATACGGCACATGGCAGGCCTTGCAGACAGAAGAAGGAGCACCCACGGACTAGTAGGGCACTCCTCAGCGACAGAATAACCCGGCACAGTCGCGTCGGACTGAATAGAAACTACGGAATGGTGCGATACTTGTAGGATAGTGACTCACCATTTGTATTAATTCCAAAGCTCACACCATAATTACTGTAGATATGGGCTCCTATACCTAGAACACGAATTGTATAAATTAGCAGCGACTAGACACATAACGGCAGGAAAGCATTCCCCCCACGTTTGTGCTAGTAGCCTGTATAGCTACCTAATCAATCACTGGTTTTATTGCATATCCTCGACTGAAGTGAATTAAGTTACCAAAGTCAACCCATAAGGGTGACTACAGTAATCTAGAAGAGTTAAGTAGGAAGTAGAGCCGTCCCCACGTTTGCGCCTTGCTAGTTAATTGAACTGCTCTGCGGACAAAGGCCTCGTGTTCTCTCTCTCCGAGATTAGCGATCTAGACGTGCTGAGTCAACTTTAAGTCAAAAGACCTCATCTAGTTGAAGTAAAATAAGCCCTAGAACGCTTTAAGTTCGAACAATTGTTGAGTTCAAGGAACTCCAGAGTCTGTGTACTCTTTGCAAGTCTTGTACTTGAAGTCAGAACCTGAGCGTTCTTTGTAGAGTGATTTTGCACTCTTTGTAGACCTCGGAGTCTTTGGTTGTTTGATTATTTGAAGTGTCCGCTAGAAGCTCTTCTAGACGACATCAAAACAAGCATAACTTGCTTGACTATACCTTACAAAACAAGTTCATAAAACCCCGCTATCGCAGACTAGTGTACTTTGTGTAAAACACATCGAAAGAAGAATTGAAGTTGTTTTCAGACAAAACCCCACTAGATTATCTAAATCTAAGTACATCGCGAGTGCTTCTATCGTACTCACCCTCGAACTTATATACATTGGTGATTGTGTGTGTGTGTGTGTGATTTAGTATCTAGATTGATGATCTAGATGCTTGTTTCATTTGCACGCTGCCCGTTACCGAGCACATCATCTGGAGCCCACCGTGAGGGGGATAAATCTAGATTTGATAATCTTGTTTGAATCAATTTCTATTCAATGCTACTTGTGTTGAATCAAGGGACTAAAACGAGATAGTAGCCTGTATACAATCTGTTTGCCCCTCCTGCCTCCACGAAAGCAAAAGGCAAGAGTAAAGCCACAGAGCCGGTACGAGCACTGACTTCCTTACGTTCTCCACCAGGAACTGTACCGAAGCCTTCGGGAAGAAAAACTGTGAACTCAAGAGCAGCAGGAGTTGGAACTCCTTCTAACTACGACAACTTAGTTACCAAGCGAAAACGCAGTGTACCCGTGCCAAATAGCCCAGCTACGACTGTACGGAGACCGCCAGTTCCCAATAGCCCACAAGCTAGAGCTGAACAGCACGTTTGTGCAAATAAAGTTGCTCGTCTTACCAGGACTCAGACCCCTACGCCCTCTCCAAGATCGCGACCATCACCGTCTGTTGGAAATAATAGTCCAATAGCAAACCCGTTTGGGACTGATAACACAAACTCACAGCCCATTCAAACCGCTAGTAGTACGAACATGTCTACTAGTAACCAAAAGATGCCTAGACCTATGGCTAGGGACGCTCCTAGATTCGATGGCGATAAGTCAGAGAATATAAGGCATTTCTTGTCGCAGATGGAGGACTTATTCTCCGACTGTAGCATCACAGATGATGCTGAGAGAAAGAAACAATTAGTCCGTTACGCTGATGCTGATACTGAAGAAGAGTGGAAGTTGTTGGACGAATATGACAATGGTACCTTTGCGAAATTTAAAGAAGCTATCGTTAAGAACTATCCAGAGGCTCAAGATGTGGAGTCTGGGACCGTTAATAGGTTGACGTGTATTACGCGTTCGTTCAAAAACCTGGGTCTAGACGAGTGAGAAGAGTACCTTAAGTTCAAACGAAAGTTCCTCACCAAGGCAAAGAAACTAGAAAAGCCACCTTTGATTATCACAAATCGGGAACTAGTTGCTAAATTTCTAGAAGCATTATCGCCCGTGTTTAGAGAAAATGTCTCAGCGAGACTTAGTATTAAACATGGTCTCAAAAGCAGTCTGACCCCAGCAGCAGCGCCAGTGGCTGCGGCGTCAACTGCAACCACTACCGCCGCTGCTAAAACCGTCTTACGATGAGAAGACTTACATAGTCTAGCAGAAGTAGTCGTGGAAGCGGATGATATAGCTCTTAATACTTCTGGTATATACGGAGTAACAGAGGCCTCGCCTCTCGAAATATCATCTAGTGCTAGAAAAGATTCCTCGGGATTAAAAATTGAAGTCGAGGAAGTCAAACAGCAGGTAGCAAGCCTTTTAGACCATCTTGATCTCAATGAGAAACAGAGTGATGCACGCCAGAAGCAACTGTTAGAAGCCTTTCAACAGTCAAAAAACACTGGTATGCAGCAATCTAGATCTCGCAATAGTGAAGGTAGTACAGCCTCTGCAAATGATGTATGTTGGTATGATTGTAAACTAGGGCATTATGCTAAGGATTGTGAGCAGACTAAGAAACATGTCACGGAGGGATTACTCAAGATAGTCAACGATAAGATAGTTATGGGAGACAGGAACCTGGTACCTAGGGAACCCGCGCAGAAAGCACCTTTTGAACGAGTAATAGATTACTTTGCCAAGAAGAAAAGTGGTCAATTGTTCTTTGAGGGCATAGATAGCGTAGCAGGGGTTTATCAACTCTCTGCGCCTCTCAGCAGTGAAGATAATTCGGTCTATGCCAACCATGTTGCGGATCCCCAGGATGACATTATCAATAAACTTCGAAGAGACGTTCAGCAGCTGCAACAGAATAGTAATCTAGCTCCACCCCAAGTATGACAAACTGTTAACCCAAGTAGTAGTTCAAATAACTTTGATACGAACGCGTTTATAAATCAAATGCGGGTTCTCATGAACCAGTTTTCAAGTTCAAACGGTTCCGCTCAACAGCAGCCTGCTGGATTTCTAGATGGTCCGATGAAGGCAAGGAGAAATAACAAGTTGAAGCCTATGACTGTTTCTCTAGAAAAGCTGGAGGACCATTTTAAAAATAAAGGCAAGCAAAAAGAACAGACTATTACTAAGAAACAAGTCGTCAAAAACCATGGGTTGAGTGATGATGAAGTCGAGATTATAGAAAAATCAGGGAGAGATACGAGCAAGGAAACTTCCAAGCCCATCTCAAAACCTAAGACAAGAGTGACAGTAGAAGAGGCCTCGGACGACGAGGAAGGAACTTATCAGCAAGATCTTCCCTACCGGAACGTGAAAGCCATAAGTTTCAAGCCCTTGCCAGTCGATAGCCGTCCGAGAACTGAAGATATATCCAAGAAAGTCCGAGATCCACTAGAAAACGACAGGATTCCTGCATATAAAAACATACTACCCATCCATAAAGATGGTAGGGCACAGGAAGTCGCGTCAAGGGTTTTGGAAGCACCAATTTCAATCAATGCAAAAGAATTGTTAGATTTGTCACCTGCAGTAAGAAAAGAACTTGCGAAATTAATGGCCAAGAAACGTATCGCGACTAAACCAGTAGTGCAAAGTGCATATGGTGTGGGGGAGGATCATCTAGATTCAGCCCCACTACCATTTAGTTCAGAAAACCTAAATCTCGACAATGAAGAATGGGTCAAGGCCCTGAAATTCGACTGCGATCGAGGTTAGCGAACTGCCACCTGCGCAACTGACGATCTCGCAGTTCACTGCTGGAATAATCCCTGCAGGATCTTTAATTGTTGGCGACCCATACTTGCAATACCTAGATACTTTGGAACCTGGGGAAACTCTGAGACCAGTAATCGTCGGAGGGGCGTCTACTAGCTTAAGAGCAATCTTCCCTTTGATTAACGGAACAGGACACGAAGAATGCGTGGTTGACGGTGGTTCCCAAATAGTGTCAATGGCCGAGCACATCGCGACGAGCCTAGGCATTGGTTGGGACCCAGATATTACCATTCATATGCAGAGTGCAAATGGTTCGCTCGTGAAGACTTTAGGTCTCGCAAAGAACGTTCCATTTTTATTCCAAGACATAGTAGTCTATCTACAAGTCCATGTAATCGATAGTCCTGCATACAAAGTACTTCTAGGAAGACCATTCGATGTTGTGACTGAAAGTCTTATAAAGAATAATTCTGACGGAGGTCAGGTCATCACTATCACTGATCCTAACACTGGTCGACGATGCACTATTCCTACTTTCACGAGAGGAACAACGTTTAGAATGACTAGACCTGTTGAGGCTGAGGGTTTTCGCAGCTCGAAGATCTGATAGACGATCAGGGAGAGCTAGCGGTACAACTCGTCAGGAACAGTGATGGAAGCGTAGAAATTGAAGCCTATATCAGCCCTGAAGGAAAAGCTAGCTTCTCGAAAGAGGGATTACGAGATGCATTCCTCATGGCAGCCGTCGAGAACAATGAAGATATACGAAAAGATACAGCTGCAGCGGACTTATTACACTCTTATTTTCAAGGGAAAGTCATGCCACCTGGATCAAGTATGTTCTGTCGCGTACGCCCGCAACGCGAAGAAGAAATACAAGACCTAGATAATCTAGAGGTGCCCATTTATAATGTACGATGTACTAATTGGTCACGCCCGACTCTGGAGACTAAAGACAAATACAAAAAGATGACTTTAGTACCAGGATTAGAACATCTAGGCGAAAGAATGAATAACAATGGCTACAAGCCAGTCTCAGGTCTTAGCCACTAAGAAATATAAACCAGTTGCCTTGAAAGTTAAGCCTCTTCTCGGCGACCTACCTGATAAATTCAGGATCGTAAGGGAAATAAAAGGAGATCCGCTCGCAGATATGCCAGTATTAAATCCTCGCCCTCCTGATTTTGAACCCACTGGATGTTATACACATGAATGGAAACTAAAAATCGATGAGAACCATCCAATGGGATTTCTATGGCCCAAAGAGCGAAAGCTAGTACACCACTTTATGTGTCTTCAAGAACAGGGTTTCACCTGGGAAGACACTGAGGCAGGACATTTCCAAGAAGACTTCTTCCTGCCTATAGACATTCCTGTGGTACCTCATATGCCTTGGGTTTTGAAGAATATACCCATACCACCTGGAATCTACGACGAGGTGTGTCGAATCATCAAGTCAAAGATTGACTTGGGCATCCATGAGCCCTCGAATTCATCCTATTGGTCTAGATGGTTTTGTGTGATAAAGAAAGACGGTAAAAGCCTGAGACTAGTACATAGTCTGGAACCCTTGAACGCAGTAACAATCGCACACTCTGGAGTTCCCCCTGCAACGGATGAGTTATCAGAACATTTTGCTGGAAGAGCCTGTGGAGGTTGTCTAGATTTATATGTCGGATACGACGAACGCAATATAGCAGTCAGTTCCCGCAACTATACAACATTCCAAATGCCTTTTGGTTCGATGCGTCTGGTAAAACTACCAATGGGTTGGACAAATTCCGTGCCTATCTTTCATGAAGATGTAACGCATATACTCTGAGAAGAGATTCCCCATATAACTCGACCTTATATTGATGATGTGCCGGTATGCAGACCTGAAACCAGGTACGAAACTGAGGACGGATCATATGAGACTATACCTGAGAACCCTGGAATTCGATGTTTCGTGTGGGAACACATGCAGAACATGAATCGAGTAGTTCAAAGGATGAAATACTGCAGAGGTACCTTCTTGGGGCCTAAGTCGTTTATTTGCATCGACGAGATGACGGTCGTGGGACACCTATGTACGTATGAAGGACAAAAAATCAGTACGGATAGAGCAGGAGTCATCGAACGTTGGGGACCGTGTAAACACATCTTGGACGTGCGAGGTTTCCTAGGTACTTGTGGAGTCTGCAGAATGTATATCAAGGATTATGCTAAGAAAGCAGAACCACTCATAAAGCTAACTAGACTGAATACACCGTTCGTATGGGAGCAGGATCAACAAAATGCTATGAACACCTTGAAAAAGGCCGTTCTAGATAGCCCTGCTCTGCGACCTCTAAAACTAGATGGAAAAGGTGAAATCGGGATATCTATAGATACATCCTGGAAAGCAGTCGGCTTTATAATCTATCAAATTGATGAAGAGGATCCTACCAAGCGACATTATGTGTGATTTGGATCTATAACGCTAAATGAACGAGAAGCTCGGTTCTCACAACCTAAGAGAGAACTCTACAGCCTACTCCACACCCTGAAAGCATGTCAGTACTGGTTAATTGGGGTACGCAACTTAGTAGTCAAGACAGATGCACAGTATATTAAAGGGATGTTGAATAACCCTGGGATGGGACTGAATGCGACCATAAATAGATGGATCGAGGACATTCTAATGTTTCATTTCACTCTTAGACATGTCCAAGGCATGACATTTCTGGCTGATGGGTTATCTCGACGAGATCCACAGCCTGGAGATGAAGAGTACCCTGATCTCGGAGGAATGGACCTCGAGGATCATGGCCCCTTGAAATTCGAAGTAGCACCAGGAACTTCAACGGTTCCCAAAGATCTCGAAGATTTTAAGCATGAAATAGATACTAGAGGAGGATATTTACTCATGGCTAATATCACAGATCTCGAGAAAGAACTAGGAGAAGCTAGAAGACAAGAACAAGACTATAGAGACCTGTATTTAGCTCAAGAAGTTAGGAACAAAAATATATGCCAATTCATGAACAATACTCCTCTCATTCCTGACCTCGAAGACAGATTTGATCAAGAAAGCTCTATCGAATACCCAGAGGATCATAGAATGAGTAATGGGAAAGCACAAGACAAGTGTCTACCCTTGGTATGGACTTGGTTGAAGAACCCTAGATTCCATCCAGAGGACTTTAATGAGAAGCAGTACACCAATTTTAAACAGTACTGTCATAACTTCTTCCTGGATAAGGAAGGCAGGCTCTATAGACACAATATAGAAGGCTTTCATCAACTTGTCATCGATAAAGAACACCGTATGTATATGATGAAAGCTAGTCACGACTCGCTAGGTCATAGAGGGTTCTTCGCGACAAAGTCACTCCTAGAACAGAGATTTTGGTGGCCAGAGTTAGATCAAGATGTGAGCTGGTATGTCAAGACATGTCATATGTGCCAAGTCCATCAGAAAACCATGCTAAGAATCCCTCCTACTCGCACCACAACTCCTGTCTCTGTTTCAGAAAGTACATTGTGATACCATGATTATGCCAATTCCTTCAAACAAGTGCTGGTATATTGTTCATGTCTGAGATTCTCTTTCGTCAGTGGCCTGAAGGTAGAGCACTACCTCTAGAAAACGCGAAGACCATGCGGCGTGGTTCTTTGAAGATGTCAGTATGCCGCTGGGGGTGTCCTGACGAGATTGTAACAGATAACAGAGGTCCTTGGGTCGCTGTATTGCAATGGCTCGAAGATAAATACGGTATTACTGGAATAAAGATCTCGCCTTACAACTCCCAAGCTAATGGCAAAATCGAGAGGCCACATTGGGATATTCGTCAAGCCTTGTATAAAGCTACAGATGGGAATCCTAAGAAATGGTTTTATTTCTTCCCTCATGTATTATGGGCGGATCGCATCACTATCAGAAAAGGTACAGGCTGTTCGCCTTACTTCATGGTTTTGGGAGCGCATCCCATCTTGCCACTAGATATAGTCGAAGCTACCTGGTTGGTAAAACCGCCTAGTGGAATCTTAAAAACAGAAGAGCTCATTGGTTTAAGGGCTGCAGGCCCTGGCAAAACATATCCAACATGTACAGGACATGCGAGAACGTGTTAGCCAAACCAAACTAGAAAATGTTCTTCGATACGAGAGAAACCATAAGGCTACCATTGTCGATTATGACTTTAAACCAGGTCGTCTGGTTCTAATAAGAAATACACGTGTAGAAGACAGTTTGAATAATAAACTGGACGCTAGATATCTAGGGCCAATGATTGTAATACGAAGAACTAAAGGGGGCTCGTATCTCCTCTCCGAGATGGATGGATCTTTAGTTGGGGGCAAGATCGCGCAATTTAGAGTGATTCCCTACAATGCGAGATATAGAATCGATCTTCCTGAGAATATTCACGACTTAATAGACGTTAGCCCTGAGACACTAGGAGACTTGGTTAACGACGAGGAGTCTGAAGAAACAGAGTATGAATATCGCGACTTAAAACAGCGCAAGGAGTTATACGGTATTGACCGTGTCAAGTTATCATTAGACAATGCCGAGCCGTTGGATACTGACTCAGAAGATGAGGAATACTCTGAGTTTAGAAACTCCGATGAGGAAAGCGATCTCGAAGACTAAGCTTCCCCTCCCAAGTCGACTTAGAAGTTCGGGTCTGGCTTGAGAAACAACATAACTCCCTTATAATTGAACAGACTTGTAACGACAGAATATGCTAAGTAGATCAAATGGGATACTAAGCAAGTTGGTATAAGCCTTGAGAAGCGATAAACTAGGATAAAGAACTGTATAAGGATATAAAAGAATGACTAGAAGTTAGTTACTTAAAGGGGACCGTCTACTCGGAGCGATATCCTGTGGCAGTCGTTGAGAGACAGTCAGAGACGTCAGTTGTCAGTACAATGCTCACAAGCATCGTCCTCGGCAGCGGCCCGCCTCTCGAGTGCCTTGATAACTTGGCCATGGTGATTGACGACAAATTGACGATACTGAATTAGATACTCGATGCGATGGACGGTCGCGATAATGTCGTTGCGAAGGTCTGCCTCCCGTGAACGAAGAACAGTCTCGCTGGGATTGACAGAGCCTCCCTCGGCGATCAGTTTAGCGGCGATTGCCAGAGTTTCTTGAGTACTCTCGTTGTTGAGAGCTAACTCGGCCGCTAGGATTTACGAAAGTAAGTTTGGCACTTAGAAGTGTTAGAATATACAGTTAGAATATACACACCTGCCATCGAATACTGCAGAATCGTTAAAAGCAAAGTCATTGGAGGCCCTAGGACGCTTGCGAGCTTGAGTAGCAGCATCATGAGCAGCTGCCTTCGCTACGACAGCCTCTGCGCGGCGGTAATCCTTGGAAGTTAAGTCCATACCGGGTACCTCAGCATAAGGAAGGAAAATTACCTCCGCACGCTTGGGTTGTTGATGTTTCTAACTCAAAACCGTTAAATAAGAATAGGACTTCGAGACGAGGAGATGAAACTCACCGCGTCCTCTTTGACTTTGTTCTTCTTGAACTTAGGAAGCACCTTGCGCCCTTCGACGATGTTGCCCGAGCTGGGATCCTTGTTGACCACGATCTCGACCTCGTCGTCAATGGACATCTGCTGAAGGCGAGCAATGACTTCATCAGCAGTGCGCGCGATGGCAGCTAGAAAAGAGATAGATACCGTATCAGTGTCCAGGATGGTGCAGGGAGTATCAGCATTACCCATCACAGTATCCTCCTCGATTGCAACTAGAGCAGGAGGTTCGTCGTCTGAGGAGTCCTCGACGATGGCCTTCGACTTGGGCGGTTTCCTTCCCTTCTTAGCGGTCTAGAACATGAAAATTGATTGAATACTGGTGATCTCGACGATAGGTAGCAAGTCCACATACCGTGGCCTTGGCCTTCCCTTTCGTAGATAAAGGTTTCGCTGACGAACCATCAGCTGCAGATGAAGCAGCAGCTTGCCCAGTAGCAGCGTTCGCCTTAGCCTTGGCTGCCAGTACAGGGTTAGACAGTTGAGCTCGACGCTCGCGATCTGCGTGAATTTGCCCAGTAAAAGCACGAACGATATGATAATCTCCGAATGGTTGAGTGCCGAGGTGAGCCTTCCGCGGCGGCAATCGCAGCCTCGCGCTTCCTCTTCTCTCCGCGAGTACGAATAACTTGTTCCTCGACTACACCAACAGGCAAGTTGACGGACGGAGGAACAGCTAGGCAGGAAGATAAAAACAGAAGTTAACATTGAAAGAATGAAAGACAAAAAGAATATCACGCACCAGCAACAGAGTGACGATTGGGACCAGGTTTTGTACGCTTGGAAGGACTTCCCTGCGAAGCAGGGGGACGAAAAGGTTTCGCAACGACTACCGACTCCTCGTCAAGAGAGTTACCGGCATCGTCATCATCATCCGTATCCTCGGGCATGGAAGTTGGACCTGCCGTCTGGCCCTTAGCGAACTTTTGCGGTTTCTTGACGGAAACCACGCCTTTCTTTGACTTGGGCTAAATCAAGGTCAGATCTAGGCGACATGGAAAGAACTTAGAAAAATAAGTACTTGCCTGAGTCTTGCTTTTGCCCTTTGAAGAGGAACCAGACGGGGCTGGAACCGTTTGAGACAATCGCGGCATGAATTTTGGCGCTGGCTCGTTGACAGAGAAACGGATGGCCTAGTCAGGGCGAGGAAACGAAAGTTAGTCGTAAAAGAAGATAAAATGAAGAGAAGAAACGCACGTAGGGCGCCTCGTGAGGAGTCAACGACAACTCATCCCACCGCTCATCATACATCTCCTTGGAAATCTCGATGGCAACCAAAGAAAGCGTGTAGGCCAGGTTGAGGGCGAAGCCTCGATACTCAACGTTGGGTCGCGCCCTGGCAGCCTTGAGAATACCAACCTAGACACCGAGATTAGCGTGTTCAACAATGGTCTCGAACAGAAGATCGAACTCACGGCTGCTGGCGCCGCCTCTTTCAGTAGTCACGCACGACGCATGGCTGGAATCGTAAGAGCGGCCCCAGGCGAGAACATGGGAGTCAAAGAAGGCCAGAGGTTACGAAGAGTTTTGAAAGACATTGGAAGCACACGAGAAAAGTAGAAAAACAAAGACTAGAAAAGAGAAATGGTCGCGTAGTAGGCGTAGACAGATCTCGACGAGTAGAGAAGCAAAGAAAAACAAACGGAGTTGTTTCGAGAAGACTTTGAAATAAAATTAGAAGTCCGCCTCGAAGGCCGTTTCCCAGCTACAGGCTGAGTCTGAACCCACGGCCGACACCGAGGACAGACCTGTGAAGGGCTAAGCAAGAAGAATCAATACAAGCGTGAACAAAGGAATTCGTAACAAGTTCACTAAGAATAAAGATGGACGCGACGCGAATTGAACTAAAAATAAGTTTAATATTGATCGCGGCTGTCAAACCCTGAAAATCATGATGAAACGCTGATTTGTAAGACAACGCAAAGCCGTGGGGATTCCAAACGCGAAGTGCAAGAACATCTAGGATCCTACAGAGAACAAATAAAGAAGTACCATGGCACTCCATTACTGAGTCTGGACAAGACACAAGTGACTAGGGACAGTCACTATTACAGTAAGGGGGAGATGATACGCCTGGTATCAGGCTACCCGTAGATTTTGCGATTTTACATCAGTTTATGCAATCTACAAGCGGTACAGAGGGCTACAGTGGAGGCTTCGCACTGGTAGCTAAATACTACATAAAGAATGAAAGCACAGCAGTACAGAACGGACTTAGAAACGACATCTCGAAGAGTCAATTCTACCAGCCGTCAACACGCCAAGCTAAGCCCTACCTAAACAAGACTATTACAGTCAAATCTCGGGGACTCGTCTGTATGGAGTATAAAAACCAAGAAGTTGAAGAATGGAACGAACTAGATGCCTCGTCGCCTCGACGAGTAGAAAGAACCTGTCAGGAAAAATTGCTAAGTCGAGAAACAGATCAGCTTTCGAGATCAACTCAGGCTAGGAAAGGAATAACCTTGGAAGAATGAATAGCCGCATTGGGTACCGAGATGACCGACTTTGATCGCGCAGTGATCAACAGAATACAATCTCGGACCTGCAGTCGATCGCGATCGGTGGTTACATCCTCGAGATCCTGCGCATACCGCAGTATTCAATACATACGGCGCACGGCAGGCCTTGCAGACGGAAGAAGGAGCACCCACGGACTAGTAGGGCACTCCTCGGCGACAGAATAACCCGGTGCAGTCGCGTCGAACTGAATAGAAACTACGGAATGGCGCGATACTTGTAGGATAGTGACTCACTGTTTGTATTAATTCCAAAGCTTGTACCATAATTACTGTAGATACGGGCTCCTATACCTAAAACACGAATCGTATAAATTAGCAGCGACTAGACGCATAACGGCAGGAAAGCATTCCCCCCGCGTTTGTGCTAGTAGCCTGTATAGCTACCTAATCAATCACTGGTTTTTATTGCATATCCTCGACTGAAGTGAATTAAGTTACCAAAGTCAACCCATAAGGGCGACTACAGTAATCTAGAAGAGTTAAGTAGGAAGTAGAGCCGTCCCCACGTTTGCGCCTTGCTAGTTAATTGAACTGCTCCACGGACAAAGGCCTCGTGTTCTCTCTCTCCGAGATTAGCGATCTAGACGTGCTGAGTCGACTTTAAATCAAAAGACCTCATCTAGTTGAAGTAAAATAAGCCCTAGAATGCTTTAAGTTCGAACAATCGTTGAGTTCAAGGAACTCCAGAGTCTGTGTACTCTTTGCAAGTCTTGTACTTGAAGTCAGAACCTGAGCGTTCTTTGTAGAGTGATTTTGCACTCTTTGTAGACCTCGGAGTCTTTGGTTGTTTGATTATTTGAAGTGTCCGCTAGAAGTTCTTCTAGATGACGTCGAAACGAGCATAACTTGCTCGACTATACCTTACAAAACAAGTTCATAAAACCCCGCTATCGCGGACTAGTGTACTTTGTGTAAAACACATCGAAAGAAGAATTGAAGTTGTTTTCAGGCAAAACCCCACTAGATTATCTAAATCTAAGTACATCGCGAGTGCTTCTATCGTACTCACCCTCGAACTTATATACATTGGTGATTGTGTGTGTGTGTGTGTGATTTAGTATCTAGATTGACGATCTAGACGCTAGTTTCATTTGCGCGCTGCCCGTTACCGAGCACATCACCGCGCCCAGCCCCTGCCTGCCGTACACACACTAAATGGGTGTTAGCGACCGATTTCACAAACAAGATCAAACAACTAAGCATGACTCGCACTTCGGTCAGGCGCTTTATGTTGTCCGCAGGTTTGCGTTAAGGGAGCTATTGCTTAGTTGAGTGAGAGTGAGTTCAGACTAAGTTATCGGGTGAATAAACTTTAGTTCAAGACTGAGGTTTAAGACCTGCAGTCGAGCTACTTAAATACAGTTTGGGTCGTGCTAAATATACTACAAGTGTCTGCAACGGTATGATAAACGTACTGCACCCTCATGGTGGAATGCGATCAAGTCCAGAGAATTGGCATAGCGAGATTATGAGAGAGCTGATAAGATAAGATAAAGCACGAAATCGTAATATTACCCCCCTGTTAAGGCAGTCGTCCCGACTGCAATGTAATTTGGTTTCGGGAGGTGAGCTCCTACAAGCGAGGGTGCGTTTGGTTTTATCAGGTATTCTTGTATTGCCTGTACCAAGGGGTGGTCGACTTCGGATTCGGTTACCGACTCTGTTTCTGACCAGGAGTCGGATTCATCACTTTCCTCCCACCAGTCTGCGGGTGGGCGAGTAATGAACAAGACTTGTTCGAAGTCTTCGATGGCATCCCTGGCGTTGTCCAAGTCTTGCTCGTCTACCCAGGAGTTTTCCTCTCTCGGGTATCCTTTCCATTTTACGAGGTATTCAATTCCGGTGCCTCGTCTTCTTCCTCTCCCTCGGGCTCTTTCCCTTCGGTCTACTATTTCTTCTACTTCATACTGTTCTTGTCCATCTATGAGGTCCAGCGGTGGAGCTGTGGGCTGTATTTGGATTGGAAACTCCGGTGGATAATACGGAGTGAGGAGATTTTCATTGAAGCGGTCATGGATTTTCCATGCAGGGGGAAGATGCAGTTTGTATGCGGAGGCGCCATGTTTGGATAGTACTTCGAATGGTCCGATGTGCTTGTCTCCTAACTTCTTCATTGGTCGGGGAAGATGTAGGTTTGTAGAGTCTAACCAGACTTTGTTTCCCGGTTGATACTCTATTGCCTGTCGTTGGTGTTTGTCGTACTGCCGTTTCATGGTCTCGGCTGCCTTCTCCAGGGCTTTAGTGGTCTGCTCGTGTACCTTCTGTATGTCTGCCACAAATTCCCGAGCTGCTGGGTTTGTTCCTTCCTTTATCGTGAGTGGTGCGAGATGAGGTTTCTGCCCATGATTGATTTCAAAGGGGGAATACCCGGTCGCCGAATGTCTTCGGTTGTTGTGCTGAAAGGCTGCAAGTGGTAGCCACTCGCTCCAGTCGTTCTGCCGGTGATTGATGAAAATTCTGAGATATTTTTCAATCTCTTGGTTCGCTCTCTCCGTTTGTCCATCAGTCTGCGGGTGATAGGCCGTGGACGGATTTCCTTGTATGTGTAACATCTCGTAAAGCTCCTTCATGAATTTGGACACGAATTGAGGTCCTCGGTCAGAGATCACCTTTTGAGGCATTCCGTGTTTGGCCCACACTTGGTCCCTAAGGATTTTGGCCCATCCCGCTGAGGTTAGCTCCGTGGAGCAGGGTACTGGGATGACTTCCTTCGAAAATCGGTCTACTATCATAAGGATGGCGTTGTATCTGTTGGAATCGGGCAGTTCGCCGATCATGTCAACCGTGATGTGTTCCCATGGTCGAGAAGGTACGGAGTGCGGGTGTAAGGGTGCTCTCTTCCTTTGCGTGCTCGTTTTGGTTCGTTGACAAGCTTCGCATCCTTTTACATATCTTTCCACATCCTGTTTCAGCTTTGGCCACCAATAATTATGTTGGACGAGTTCTTTGGTTTTTTCAATGCCCGGGTGTCCCGCCGTGATATGATCATGGTGAATGGCAATGAGCTCTCCTCGCAGCTTTGCGTCTTGGGGAACATATAGCCGTTCGTCATAGTACATTAGTCCCTCTCGTTGGATGACCCCTCGGGGATGATGAAGGGAGGCTTCTATCCCTTTATCCCATCTGGTTACGTCTCGCAGCACCGTTCGTATCTTCTTGTGTATTTCCTCCTTCCCTGGCATAATTAGGGCTCTGAACATTTCCGGTTTGAGGATGACTACTTCGTCATTGTCGTTTCCTCCCTGGTCATGGTCTGCCCTTCGGGATAGCAAATCTGCCTTTTTGTTTGCTGTGCCGGGTTTATGATGTAATGTGAAATGATACTTGGCCAACTCCGTTACCCATCTAGCCTGGCAACGATTGAGCTTTTGGGGTTTTCGGAAGTATTGTAGGTTTTGGTGGTCCATCCATACTTCAAAATCCTGGTGTGCTCCCATGAGGTAATGTCTCCAGTCTTCTAGGGCGAGCATGATGGCTAGGAGTTCCTTGTCATATATCTCATAGTTTCGTTCTGTGACCGTTAGGGCTTTGGACAAAAACGCCACCGGCCTCCACTTCCCTTCTTGTTCTTGTGATAGAACAGCTCCTATTGCTCCTTCACTTGCGTCAGCCTCTACCCGGTACTTTCCGGTTCGATTGGGTATAGCCAGCACTACTTCCTCGGCTAGTTTCCTCTTGATTTCTTGGAAGGCGTTTTCCTGAGATGGCCCCCATATCCATTCCGCCTTTCCCGTGAGTTGGGTCAGGGGTCATATGTGTTTGCTGTAGTTGCGTATGAACCTCCGATAAAAGTTGGTGAAGCCCAGAAACAATTGTAGTTCTTGCTTTTTGGTAGGTTGGGGCCATTCAGTGATTCCTTTAACCTTTACGGGGTCCATGCGGATGGATCCTTGACTGATGATTACTCCGAGGTACTCTGTTTCTAGTACCTCGAATTCGCACTTTTCCGCCTTTAAGAAGAGGTTGTTGGCACGAAGGATGGTCAGAACCTCTTTTACGACGGCGCGGTGTTTGTC